CTCTAGCCAGGGTCAACCCACCACACTGGAGGTGTGAAAAGGCTTATTATATTCTTCCACTATCTTCCTCACATGGTAGCAATACCAACACTAAGTACTAGAGGAAACCTCCCACCAGCTATGTGCAAAGATGTCCTAAGATGCTGACATTAAATTGCTCATAGTCATTTACACAGCCTCAGATGGGTTGCTAATCCATTTCTTCAACTCCAAAAGACAGCAATTCAAATCCCACCTTCAAAAGCATCCCTTCTCTGCATCCAGCTTAGAATTTGACCCAAGGTATTACACACCTAGCTGGATTGCTCAGACACCCTGTAGCTGACAAAAAGTAAAAATTTCAGATTGAACTACTCTATGCAAGAGTTTCAGTAGTGTGCTTCCTTCTCTATCACCCTCTTTAAAAGATTTATGAAAACCAAGAATTTCTTAGAGTATTGAGTCAAGCAAGCCAACTGTCATTCTATTAATTTCTCATGCTTATTTCTGCACTATTTCAGGCAGCCTGGAGATTCCTGGAAAGAACAGATACTGAAATAATTCTCATTTATACTAGTGTGTGCCATAATTAGGTGTAAAGGTCTGCTCTGCTCAGGGCCTCTTTAAATCTTGTCCATCTGGTTTCAATCAAATCATCAAAAGAAACAGCAACTGTCTCATTCAGAATAGCTGTTTCTTACTCATTACAGTATTCTGCTATAAGCACAGAAGTCGCATTGCCTGTATGACAGAGACGACCAGTTCTGATACCTGGTCTGACCTCAGAACATCATTAAGTGGGGGAGTGCCAAGCACTTTTTTCCTCTACTAAGCACAAGCCATCGAGCTCTTTAAATAGCACAAAAAGGGCTGCAATGAGGATTTTGATTCCAACATATAAAGGAATGACATAGTCTGGGCAGAGTCACTCAGATTTCTGAGCAGGACTTTTACTATAGCCGACAGCCAGTGTGTGCTAGTTTCTTGGGTACAGAGGGGCAAGGCCTGAAGATGCATTGCTGCTTCTTTTAAGTATACTTGGGATTTTGCATGCATGCTTAAACAAATCTAGCCAGATCGAGTATACATCTGATTCCTCACCAAAATGGATATGTTATATGGCCATAACAACTGAAGGCAGGCATACAGGACACATACCCAAATGTTCACAGTGCAGACAGCCTACCGAATTCATTGCAGACAAAAAAATGAAACATAATTACTGAAAAGTTAGTAATTACTGCAAACTAAACCTGTTAGCAAGCTGAGCAGACCAAGAGGCTGCAGAAACACATACTCAACACTTTATCTTGTGAGGTGCTGAAACACTAACAAACCTTCCATCTCATTCCTTGCACCTGGCCATTTTGTTGTGGCTGATGATGGTTTTGCCTGCAGTCCCACAGTTAATTTGCCTGCTGGGTTTTGGACATCTCTGTAATATTTTTCCTGTACCACCTGTTGGTCTCAGGTTCCAACCCCTTTCATGCATGCCAGTGTCCTCTCTTTGAAGAAGACATGTGCTGCTGGCCTAAACTTCTGGGTTTCCTCAACCACATGAACTGAACAGACCTCTGTAAGAAAAGTTTTCACAGGAACTAGACTAATGATTGATAGAGGTCACCCATAACAGGAACAACAAAATCTCAAATATCCCTTATTTACCTGAAAGCCATGATAAGGAAAAGGCTCAGAACTGTGCCTTATTTAAACACTTAACTTCTGGCACGTCTCAGTAAATTAGCAAATTACACTCAGTAGCCCTTCCACAGCATCCTCCCTCAGCCGAGGCCCAGGCATCTGGTGTCTTGAGTCTGTTCACTACCTTTAATTCTGTGCTCTGGCCTTGAAGAAAAATTCCCAGTTGGCTAAAGCCACATGGGTGAGTGCTCCCAGACTTAAGACACCTGACTTTTTTTTTTTTTTGCAACTTTTAATAAAATTAGGACATTTCAGAGATACTTTGTTTCTGTCTCATCTCTGAAAGTTTTCTTTCACATAGTTTCACAGGCCTAACATTCCTCTCAGCTGCAACTTAGTGGTGTAAAACATGGGATCAAGCCGGTGTGCTACATAAACAAAGCTGCACAGATTTCACTTTCCTTGGTTTTACGTGGAAATTGTGCACTCTCTTGTCTCAAAAACCCCTGATCATTAAAACCCAAGAATTTCTATTATACCATGGTATTAATCTATTTTAAAGCTATAAGAAATGCAGTGTTAATTCTTTCCTGAGCTTTTTAAAAGCTCAATGAAATACAAACTGATGTTATCAATCATGCTACCACCTCCCCAAAGTTCCAAATCCTTTGCTTTCCATTTTCCAGGCATCTTGACTTATTAAAATGAATTGTGCATGTTACTGTGGTTGCTTAACAACTTTCCTAAAAATCCAACGTAAGCTCATTTCCAACAGCTGACACAAAATGCTGACATAATTCAAATACTCTCATTAAAAGAGAAATAGTATGAAAATCACTTTTTATTAATTTTCAATTATAAAACAAGAATTTCTGCATTTGCTTATCCAATACAAAAATCTCCCCTATTGTCAGTTCCAGTTAACTCTTACAGAAATTTTACATCATCATAATTGATTGTGTTTAGTCACTGCAACATATTAAAATCAATTTGAGAGTTAAAAAGAAGAATGAAACAAAATCAGCAACAAGATCCAATGCTGTTCCACATTCCTTGAGGAGTTAAACCAGATAACACAGCAACTCTGCCATCTCAGCAGCTTTACACTCATTCATGAGTTGTATCTGTTCTACATATGGATTTTATCCTTTTGCACTTCTTAGCCCTCCTGAGGATATTACCTTTCTTGACTCAAGCATTCATAGTGCCACGTGGCTATTCCACACACCTCACAAGTAGCGGTACCTCCCGTCAGACTGCAGCACCCTCGCCCATGGCAGATACCATCTCTCTGCAGAGTGTGCAGAGACATTCCTCTGCCTCACAGTAACCTACGGCATCGTGCCAGACCCAGACTGAAGGGCAAGAACTAAGCCAACCTAACTGTAGGCCAGGATCTCCTGCCAGCCCAGGCCTCCTCTTCTTTGAGTCATCTAAGTGCCTTCCACTAGTTAACTAACACTTAATGCCAATGGAATAATAAACAATAAAGCAATTAAAACCCAAATCAGAGGCAGAATTTTCCCTTTTACATGTAACAAAGAATCTCCCAGTGCATTTAAGAACAAATGTAAATAAAAAGTAACTGCTAAGTAGTATACTGAATGGTAGTTGCTGTAGGCCATGAGAAAAGCATAGAGAAAGAACTATTTCACGTTTAAAGTTGGAGCTCTAAGTCAGATTGTCAGATGCCAAACCAGATGAAAACATAGTAGATAAAATCTCAGGTAGGCCAAATATTTACTTTAAAATGTTAGCTCTGCATCACGGTCAGCACAAGTTGGGCACAAAGTTTCTACACAGTAAGTACATCACATGAAGAACTTCTGTTGCACAATTAGTCAAGGGTGGCATGAAGGCTGGCGACTGCTTTGCGATGCCAGCCAAACTGAACGTTAAGCTCCAGTCTAACACTTTTTTGTTTGTTTTGGTGAGGGTGTTTTTTGTTTTGGGTTTTTTTTTGTTGTTGTTCTTTCGTTGTTGGTGTTGGTGATTTTTTTAAATGTAACTAATTATAAAGATTTACAATCTACTAAGCCTGGAAATCTCTCTAATAAATCCAGTCCTGTTTTCAGCCTACAGGGATGATAGTGCCTTTGCAAAGAGTGAAGCTTAAAACAAAAATCTAAGATTTTTTTTTTCCTGAAAGCACCATGAGTCCCAGTTAACAAAACCAAATGCAATAGACAAACTCAGCCCTTGATTAAGCCTGCATTTTTAATACACTACTTCTACCTGCAGTAGAAACTTAAAAAGCAATCTGTACAATTACGAAGCAACTACCAACCCCATGGGCTTCAATGCACAATGAGGCCAATCAGCACTTTTTCATAACAAGATGTTTTGTTTCGTCCTTACAAGATACAGTCTCTAACACATAGCATGCTAGCGGCTGGTTAAAAATGAAGCTACTATTATTACAGACTGCCAAAGACTTCTACGTTTCTATCAGTATAAAACTCTCAGCTTATTCCCTTCATCCAAAACATCCAAGATTTTAATGCACAAATCTCCATGGGTATGGCTAAGTGAAAGAAAAGTATGTAATTTTATCATCAGTGTTTCTGTGTAATCTGCTAGAATGCCTGGTATACATTCATATGCATCTGGTTCATTTTACAGTTACTTAATTTCAGCATCTAAAGATTCCTCTAATAGTAGTTCCAAAATCTCACTTCGCTCCAAATGCTCATGTAAAGAGTTGTACCAGTTCCACTGCTGGAAACAAATTTATTTTTGCTGAATGTGCTGCCGTGCACCACCATTATCTTCATCTTATACTATAGGTTAGAACGAGTCAGCCAGGGAAATTCCTGGAAGAAGGAAAAAAAAAAAAAGAATTAAAACCATAGAAAAATAGACAAATCTTAAGAGGAACAGGATAGAAATATGTATTAACTACCAGATGGAATCCACAGGAAACAAAGGCTGCTCAAAAACGTTTTATCTCATTTTGCCAGGAATGGAAAGGAACAACCACAAATTCTGGAAACAAGCATTACAGACACTATGCATTAGTAGCAGCCAAGGGAAAAAATAAAAACAATCCAAAAACCAAGGAAAGCAGATGGCACAGTGTAAAAGCATCTATTCTCCTGTCTCCCAAATCTAAAGACAATCTCTCTGCCTTCTCTGCAGATTAAGTGGTACTTCCTGAGGATTTCTGAGGCTTGCCCACATGAAGCTTGCAGAAAAGGAAAGGAAAACATGCACATACCTGCTTCTTTCTCTCAGACTGTGGATCAATCATTACATTTATAAGAGAAGGTGTTTGCTTGTCAGTCCTGCTTGCTTTCAGAGCATTCTGCAATTCTTCTGGCGTTTTAACAAAGTATCCTTTACCTCCAAAGGCAGACATAATTTTCTCATAGTGTGAATTTGGCAGGAGAGAAACAGGAGGCGCACTGGAACAAAATTGAAAACTTCTGATTAATGGCAGGGAAGAACTGCCAGACTGACCAATTTAATTACTTCAGTACTGATTTTAAAGTGCAAGATGATTATTGTGCTGCCTAATGAATTCTTCTGGGCAGGAAGAACTATGTTTTCTATACCACTTAAGCTATGTTTCTAGGGTAGCATACTTATTTTCATCTTCTGGAGACATTCCTGAGCAGAGCTTTAGCCTAGTTATCTTGGTACAGAGATCTCAGCTCCAGAAGCAGAAGCCCAGTGTAAACTCAGAACACACACTTCAGCTAATTTTGGAGAAGAAACCCAATAGAGAATCATCTCTCTGCTGCACTGTTGTGTAAACAACAGTGTGGGATTTGGTTGTTTGTTTGCTTTTGGTAACTGGTTCTTACTTGTAGAAACAGCCTAGGACTAAGTTTACTTTATGAACAATTTCAATCTAGGTCAAAAAGCACTAAAAGTTAAGAGAATGACCATTTTGGTCACTCCTTCCTTAATAAACAGGACATGCTTTGAAGATGCTCACCAGGTAGCAGGATCTCCAAACTTTAACATCTCCTTCCAGGCATCTGCATCCAAACCAGTGTAAATCCCATTGTTGTTTACTACGATAATCAGGATTGGCAAATTGTATCTACAAAAAGATGCATTTGGAAGAATTCTGAAATACTTGCACCTTTCTATAAGGTGTTAAAACTATTAATTTTCCTTAAAAGTAAAATAAATTTTAAAAATAATTTTAAAAAAATCACTTCCACTTGAAACATGATCTGTTCATCACTGGTGACACACTATGTTGCAACAGCATAAAAACAACCACGTATATTTTTTTGGCTTGTTTTCACATACTTTTAAGAGCCCCCCCATTTAAGAGCAGCATCCTTGACCTTCTATTTACATTGGTCCTGGCAATATATGAAGAGTCTTCTTCAGCAAAAACCAAGTTACCTGCAAATAGTCTCCACCTCCATCCCAGAAAATCCAAAAGCACTATCTCCCTCTATGCAGATGACTTGCTTTTCAGGTGTTCTGTCTTTAGCTACCATTGCAGCTGCTATAGCAAAACCCAGTCCAACTCCCATTGTTCCAAAAGTACCTGCATCAAGCCTAAAGGGGAGAATACAGAATTACTAACCTTTTATTTTATTTCTACTCAAACTTCTAAGTTATTCCATGGTGACTTATCTTTACTTTTAATAATTTGCCATACACTATTCAAATACTGCTTCGTAAACAACTGGTATAAAGAGATACCAGATGTATAGATTATTATATTCAGTCAAACATTTAATAAGACTACAAATGATTTAAGTGATATAAACACACTGGAACTCTTAATTAAAATTAAGAACTCTTATACACTAGTTGTATTAAAATAAGGGCTATTCTTGTGTGCTTTTAGCTTGCAGAGAAGCATATTTCAAAAGCAATCAATTACTATAGAGACAGGCAGACTACATGAAATCTTTCTATATTTAATTCCTTGAAAATATAACTAGAAGTCTGAAAGCCATTGGTTAAATACTGCTGTTCAAATTTTAGTCTTCTGTTCAACTTTTGAAATCAAATTGAAAGCTGTAATTAAGTTAGATCATTTCAGTCTGAAGCACCTAATGGATAGAAAAATACATAAAGAACTAGATTATTCTAGGGTTAACTTTTCAAATCTGCTTTCAGATATGTGCAATGCGCTCTGAAAAGACAACCATTAACATTATTGTGCCCTTATTTTAAATGAGGGCAGGGGGGAAAGGAAATTCTTGCTCCAACTTTACTGGAAGTATGGGGTTTTTTTGTTTGTTTGGCTGGTTTTTGTTTACAAAGAAGTATTTAGGTTCATTTAGGACTTCAGTGCTACTTCCACAAAAAGGCACAAATTTCACAGTCAGATCAGAAGTTTCACCTCACCAGACAGAACTGTCTTTTTGGCCCCCTCATTCAAGAAATAGCACTTAATTTACACTTATATTAAAACTAGACTACACATTTAAAGTGACATACCAACACTTCTAAATTTGAGTGCCTACATTTTAGGCATGCAGGTTTATATGAAAGTGTGCCCAATGTATAATCCAATTTTCAAAATCAGTTAACTCTTCTTAAGTTTTAATTATATTTAAGTGTGTTTCAAAGCAAAACCATTCATATGAATTCTTTTCAACATGAGAATCCCAACCATTGTTTTTACTTTAAATCAATATTTACCACAGACTTTAAGCATGGAAATAAACAAACATCCAGATCAGGGAATTAAAAGCTGCTCAATCACCTTCCACAGAGTGAGAAACTGTCACCATTCTGTTGGTGAGAGTTACCTTACCTCTGTAAGAGAGCACACAGCCAAGTTGCAGAGACAGAACATCAGTATGAGTGGAAAACTTGCCTTAAGCCCTCTTCCAACATCCTAATTTTTTATTTAAAACATTTAAAAAGGATTACAAAAATTCTGAACCATCATACTTTTCAGCTAAATTAAAACATTAATACATAGATCTAGCCTGCTGAATTAGCACAACAAAGAAAATACCACACCTTTGACGGGGATAGTAATTTGGAAGCATGGTTCGTCCAATGTCCATGGTGTTTGCTCCCTCACTTACTAATATGCAGTCCTTGGGGATCAGTTCTCTGATGTGATGAAAGACTGTGTAATAATTCATAGGCAGGGATTTCTGTAATGCTAATCCCTTAAAAAGAAGATATATCAGTTAACACCTATGGATAGAATTTATAATAACATGCAGAACTGAGACATGTAAATATAATAATAACGATGGAAATAAAAATCTGCTCTGCTAGGTAAGGCTGAAGCCTTTAGTCTTCCATGCACTACGGCAAGGTCACTCCTTCTGTATCTGTTCTGGTGACACAAGGTATTTAGCAGAGGCTCACTCAGCTCAGCAGCCCATGGCCAGCCTATCATTAACAGAAAGCTTCTAAAACTCAGTTTAATCTGAGAGGCACGTGATATTTTTCTGCACATAGGTTTGACTATTGACAATCTTAAGTGAGCTGTCATCTGTGTGCTGGGAGGTAGTTAAAAAGAGTGATCTACTAGAATTAATTTCTTTTAGATCCTTATCTTGGAAACATGCATCTGAACTTGCAGAATATGAGTTGCATAAAGTTAGGCATATGCCAACCACCTGTGGTCTTTTGGCCTTAATAGCTACTTGCTTTTAACACAGATTATATTTTTACTGGCATTTCTAAACAGCACAATTACAGAAGAAAACTAAGAATGCACCTTCATGTAAGCTAGCTTCCACTTGGAGGTACTTGGAGTACCTGTCCATTGCTTAGAAGTCACTGCCCATAATACAGCAGCTGTGGTCTTCTACTACTGGCTTTAAGAACCCAATCCCAAAGTTGGAATGACTTCCACACAGTTTGAATTTATAAAAAACCTAGAATACTAAATTTAGAGTTAAGTTTTAAGACTTAAGAGTTCATACACCTGGCAAGAGTAAGCCTGTACCAGAATGGTATAAATTTTCAAAGTCTGGGTGACATGATTGTCAGAAGTAATTGAGGAGCTTGGATATAGACCAGTGACAAAACCGATTACGCATCAGTACCTGTCAAGGCGAGAAACCTCCTCTTTAATATAACACTACCTTTGATCTTTCCTCATTGTGCATTATTTTCTGTCTTAGCCTCTTCCACCACTCTGAATTAGATGGATGTTTCAATGGTCTTTTGCTGAATTCTTCCAAGAGCTGGAACAAAATTGAGATGTTGCAGAGATTTCTTTTAACATATTTAAAAAAACCCACCACGAGCATCAAGAATAATGTCCTCAAGAAAGATCCCAGCACAATCACAGTAACACTAATCAGAATCTTTAACATTTAAGTTGGGAATAGACTGTATGCATAGCATGAGGTTTTCCTTTAACACATTTTTTTTCCTTTTTTGTAACTGGTAACTTACTTTATATAAATCAGAGGAAATGAAAGTCAAAACAGGAGCATACCTGACATTATGTTACCTGCTTAGTCACGGCGTTTATGTCACCTAATAAAATTGCAGCTGGCCTCACATTATTCCCCAGCTCTTCTGCACAAATATCAATCTGTATTTCAAAAAGAAAGGCCACCATTACCTCAAGGATATTACTTTTTTTTTTTTTTTCAGTTCAGGTGAGGAACATTTTCTAACAACATCTTGTTATACCTTGTTTTGGCTGTACAGGTAACCTAGAATCATAGAATGGTTTGGGTTAGAAGGGAGCATTGAAGATCATTTAGGCTGGTCAGGCAGGACTTGCCCTTGGTAAAGCCATGCTGGCTGTCTCAAATCACCCCCCTGACCTCCATGTGCATTAGCAAAGCTTCTAGGGGGATCTGAACTTCCTCTGCCTTTCACTGAAATGACATCAGGAAATGCTTTATTCAAAGTAAAATCCTATGATACATGCTCATTTTAATAAAAGTTCATATATATTCTTAAAATTGACTGCTTGCTTCTTTCAAGCTCTTACAGACAGTATAAAACTTTACTGGAACACTATGGAGATGCAGGTAGTGATTTTATTGATAATTATATGAGAACTAAAAATCTAGGCTTGGATATACCCTTACAGTCTATACAAAGCAGTAATTTTCTTACTGAAAAAAGTTTGTGTATGCTACTTGGCAGTAAGAATTTGGCTAGTATGAAGAAACTGAAAAGTAAATTGCAAACACTGAAGAAACTTCCTCACTTTCTTTATCAGTAAGGTATGAGACCTCTAAGGTTACACAGAATACTAACTTATGACCAGGTCACACAGATTATGAACTGAATTAGTATTTTAATACTAACCCTTGACAGTGAAAAAATTACTTTAAGTGAGATGAAAAAATATTTTTCTTTATATTATTTAGAAAAAGGAAACACAGAAGATGTATTATTTCATAAGTCAAAAAGGAATTCTAGATTAAAAATTTACGTTATTCCTCTGGAAAAGATGCAAAGTGTGGAAGCTGACATTACGTTCCAGATCACCAAAGACAGGCCAGTCAACACACTGAACCAACTACTGCTCATTGATCATAGACTAAGGGAGGAGATTTTAAAGACAAACAATTTAACAACTTCCCTTTCAATCTGCCAGATTGCCAAATACACTGCTTGGTTAAATAGCCTTTCTTCCTCTTATTAACATTTCTGAGTGACTGAGCTCTTACAATGACTGACTCTGAATCTGAAAGTAATTCTACTTAAAAAAAAAATCCAGCTGAGAGAGCAGTCAAACAGTATGAAATGTTTCACAATTTCAAGACAACTTGCTTTCAATCATGGAAATTCCAGTGCTCCAGACGTCACACAAGTATCATTAGGCTAATCCTGTATTAGTGCACCACATAGAAGTGTCTGCCCTCCTCATTACAGCAGCACCAAGTCCTTGATAGCTGGAATAATGTTGTAACCATTTTTAGAAAAAATAAGGAAGTTAAAAAAAATTAATCTGAACTACTACTGGAGAACTACCATAACTATATGCACTGTAGTGCATTGTCCATAGGGCAGTATTTGCCACATGAAGTATACTACCAAAATAATTTACAATAATTTCTCTAGGCAATGCTAGAACACACAGGACTTCCTTCAAGTAATAATAATTTTCCTGCTTACCTGAATAACCTTTACATCTTGTCGAAACCTTGGTGGAAGACCAAAATGCAAAATCCAATTCAACCTTGCACCAAGCAAGATGATTACATCAGCATGCTGTAATGCTCTAATAAAGGGAAAGAAAAGAATCAGATAAAGAGGAAGTATTATTAAATTTAATAGTATTTTCAAAATTACAACTAATCCTAATCACCACAGTAAACCCCAGAGTATAATCCTTCCTTTCTCTAAGGTGCTTGCTTAGCCCCCAAACCATGTATCTTTTACACAGCCAATCATCAAGCCACTCAAGTTTAGGAACTCAAGAAGAAAATGAACTACTATTTTCCTAATACACTATGGGAAAGGAATCATTACACTAAGAGACTAACAAGATGCTATAATGACACTGAGGTTAAAGCAAAAGATGCACTACTGTGATACTGGCAACAGCAGGTGCCCAAATTAAGATTGTTGTGGACCTCTCAGTTTAGATGCCTTTTAATTTACCTTTCAGCTGGCTAGACAATATTTAGTATATTCTTTTATTCTCCATTTTTCTTAACAGCATGCTTAACAGTGATAAAGCTAAGATGCTCAACAATGGACAATATTTTATTCTCAAAGTATATAAATGCTCCATCTGCAAGCTGACTGTGCATATTCATACTTAGTAGGGTTCTTATAGGTCACTCACATTAATTTTGCCACAAGCCAAAAAGAGCTCTTTTATCTTACTTTAAACATAGTCCTTCAGTGTAGTTTGAAATACCTTATTCTTATTTTTAAATAAACTGCCATTTAGTGACAGTGTATTGCAAACACCATGCAGAGAGAGCAGACAGCACAACTTCAACTGCAATGTGTCCATCTTAAGCTTCTGTTTATGGGGTTAAGATAAAAAGCCAGCAGTTTGCCTAGTACACCAAGTTAAATGTTTAACATAAACCATTTACGAGTTTCATTTTATGTTATGAAATACATACTAACAACATTGATACATCTACTTGCCATAGGTTTCATAGTTACAGAATATTAGCTCTCAGATAAAGTATCTTCCTGGACAGCATTCTAAGCATTGTCAAAAGTGATCCACCTAGATCTGTTGTCTCTTTCCAAGCAACATCTTCTGTACTTTAAAATGAGGTACCAAATGTGGCTGAAAAATGTTTGTTGTATGCATTTTGTCTTCCCTGGCATCTGTAGACCACCACAATTCCTAGTTGTTTCTCAGATGTTAGGATTAGAAGCCTTGCTTTATATTTACGTTGATCTTGCTGCAGCTACACAGTTTGGATGGTTATCAGGAACTACTCCTTTTGCCATTGGTGTAGGCAAAAAAGGCAGTCCACAAAGGTCCACCAACTTTCTGATGTTATTTTCAGCATGTGAATAAGCAGCACCTGAATGAAATGAAAGAGACTGCTTAATACTAGAGAAGCTTACTGTATCTGCTTGAATTCCACTCAACATGACTAGATTAGCAGCAGAAAGGGTACTACTTCCCATTATGAAAGCTGCTTGTTAATTCTTCATTCTGGTAAACTTAAAACACAACATGGCAAACTACAGGTATTTGGGTTCAGATTTCCCCTATTTTTGACAAAAGCTTTTTTTAAGACTTCAGCTGAACAATTTAGCTATTTCTGTAAAGCAGGGCAGGGAAAAATAGGAGATTTTCTTTATCTAAAATGACAGTTTTGAGCAGAAGTTCGGTATTATGGGGCAGAGACTACAGCAGCAGCAACAGGAGTTCACCTTTGCGTTGTGTCATGTCATTTTCTGCTTGCCCCCTGCAAGTCAGTGTATTACATGCTCCGTAACACTCTGCCCAAACAGGTCTACTACAAGGCTTTAATGAAAAAAGAGAAACTCAAAGAAGACCTTGTAAGGATACGTGTTTGTGCATACATTTACTGTGATGCTACCTTCAATACAAGGCTGCTGAATTAAGGTTGCCCAGGTAACCAAGAATAACTGACTGGTCCTTGTGCAATGCCTTAATTCCATGAGTCTTAAATACTGAAGAATAAACTTCTGTATTTCTTCCAAAAATTCTGCCAACAACAACATATAGCAGAAAGTCCAGATACATTTGTTAAGTAGATTCTTAATTGTCGACATCAACAAAACACATATTATGTATTTTTGAGGTTTCTACCTTTCACTTTCAAAGAACATCCTTTTGTTCATGTGTATCAAACAAGGGATAGGAAAAAACTCCTCTCCCAAACTACCTTCTGTCCACTGTTTCATTACCTAATCAATTATAAGATCCACCTCATCTCAATCCTTTCACTCCCTGATCAAGCATAGAACCCATGTCTGCGGGAAAACAGCCTGGATAAAACAAGTTGCTTATTTCAGTTCTATTCCTAGCAAATCTGTATCTTCAACAGAAACACCACTGCAGCAACTAACATTCCAGAAGGAGGGACAAAATAAGCAAATTGGCACAGAGAATAATTATTCTCTATCTTTAGGGACATGTCTATTTCAGGAATGAAATACACTAGCAAAGTACAATGGAAAGTCTGCAAAACAGCAGCAACAGCAACACCTGCCCTGCTGCTCCATGCCTCCACACAGGGAGCCTGGCACTTTGAGTAAGTCAAAGTGGAAAAATGACCTTTGGTTATTCTGATTCTTGCTATATATGCTGGAGCATCAGCCAGAGAATATCACTTCTGTATTAAAAGAGAATTTGTTTCGAATTTTGGAAGTGAGCCCTTGGTATTAGCTCTAGGCTTAAGACTATGGTTATCCATTTTTTTTTTCTATTTAAACTTGTATTTTATCAATTGTATTCTCTCTCAAACTAGATGAAAAAGACAACAGTTACATGATAGAAAAAAAATAAAAATATTCTAACAAAGAGAAGATTTTAACATAAAATTTCAAATAAGTTTGTGTTTTTCTTTTGTTTGTTTTAATAAGAGTGAAAAGACAGCTGACACTTATGGGGAAAAGAAATCACTTTCACTGTTGTTCTTGTCCAGAGCTTGCACAATTCAAAGCTACATCAAAGGGTGCTACCTTTGCCAATGATGAGCAGAGGCTGCTTGGAATGAGCAATGACAGACGCTGCTTCGGATACAGCAGAGTGTTCAGCTGTGCTGATGGGAGGTGGCAGGCAGCACTCCACATACCTGGAAGTCAAGCAAAACAAGCAAGGCTCTTTAAAAAATTCAAAACAAGAAATGCTGAAAGATAAAATCTATTGTTCAGCATAAAACTGCAGTTGCTACACACCATGTTACTTGCAGCATTTATCAGAACAGGATATATTTTTTAAAACAGGCTTTGAAGTTTTTCTTGCATGTTTCTTATAGGTAGTGTTGTTCCAGAGATTTACAAAGTGACAGGATGCATTACCATCATATTAATTCAGTCCTCTTTGCACATTTCATTACAAACTATAACCTATATCATATGTTGTGATATTACATTTAGAGGCTAGATTTTTAGTATCATTTCAACCTTGTGGCAAATTATTTAATCCATTGCTATTTTTTGTCTTTTTCTTTTTTTTAAGAAAATATAAAAGTAACTTAAAACTAAAATTACTTTCATTCGGTGACTTGAAAAATGAACATAATCCTTACGCACTTGACAGAGCTCTTGTTCACCTGAAGATTCACAAAATCCCCGGGTATGTCAATATAGCAGGAACCTGGACGACCATATATGCTGGTTCTTACAGCCTAGAAAACAGATAATCAGAGTCTTAACCACTGTTTGAAAGGATTTAAAAAATCTTTATGTGTAAAAAACCAAGAAAACCCTTCTGTAGGCAGAGAAGGAACGTGCTGTTTCATATTGCTCAACCACCACACAGAAAGCTCCTATGGATTGATTTATACCAATAAATTAAAGTTTCAATAACTATTTACATTTTCCCCTATATGCCAGCTGAAGCCTTTTAGTAGATGTACAGTATCAGACTGCAAATTCTTTGTTTAATTTACAATGAGATAACTGTATTATCAGCTGCTGTGTTTGGAAATACTAAATTAATCTTTCATGCTGAATTATATTTAAAGTAGCACAGAGTAAAAACCAGACAATCAATGTCTTGGTTTTCTATTACTTTGCTTCCAGTTATTCTATTACAGGCAGAAACAGAGTAAAAAACAGACAATCAATGTCTTGGTTTTCTATTAACTTTGCTTCCAGTTATTCTATTACAGGCAGATGCTCTGCTGAATTTACACTCCTGGAAACAGTATCATTTTATGCAGAATGTAGGCTGACACAGGTGAAGCATTGCTAGAGGAGTAGCAAGAGACTTTTTAAACTCTTCCTGAAGCACTGAGATAAGAAAGTGTTTTTTCTCACTCTCTCAAAAAACCCCACCAAAGCAACAACCAAACCCAAAACCCGAACACAACCATCTCCACCACCAGCCCTCCAAACCTCCTTCATATAATGAGTGGTAAAAGAGATGAAGTTTGTAGTGTTACATTTCTAGTTATTTCACCTCTCCCTAAAAGTATTTCTTTCATAAAAATTTTTCAGCTCTGACTGAAGCTAATAAAAAATGCTGCAAGGATCAGTAAGCATCAAATTGGACCAGAATTTTTTTCTAACCTGTTCCATAGCACAGTTCATAGGAAAAACCTCCCTGGTTGTTAATTTACTCAATCAACCACCACCTCACATCTACAGGATCAAACAATTTACAGTGACAGCTATACAAAAAATAAACTCTCTGAGCTGATAGAGTAGGAGACAGTTACTCAATGTTCTGTTGCCAATTTAGTATTTTTTCATACCTTTTCAATAACAGCAATTCTAGGCTGCTTGGGCGGACAGACAGCTTGTTGTACAGCCTACCAGCCTCAACCTGAATAAATGCATATAACCATTAAATTCATTTATCAAAGTGATTTGCTCATTTTCATCTCATTTCAACAGGAATAAAATGTAAAATATGCCAAATGGAAAGCAATAACTTGAAATATCCCACATAAATAAAATGCAGCTCCTCAGCTGGTAGAAAGTGTCAAAGCCATAATCATTCACCAAGCACTTCACTGTTTGGGGTTTTTTTTCCCCTCCGAGAAAGTGGTGCTTCTTTTCTTAGGAAGTTTATTTTGCTTTCTTCCATCTCAGGACAGACAGACAACTGCAGTTTATACCAGCTGAGAACCTAAAACAGAGCATGAATTCTAACATGATGGTGGACAAAGACACTCCAAATAATCTGCTGTATTTACGTAGTGTCAATCTTAAACCAGTAGATGGAGCAAGTCAACAGCATTACAAGATCTGTTAAAATGTGTTGTGTTTGGGATTGTTATTCTTACACTAATCCAAAACCAACACCAATTATTTAACTAAAATATTTTTGTACAAAGTTGTATGTCTCTGTACCTGTGGGAATTCTTGGAAAGCTCCCATGGTTTCCTGATTTCTGTCAGAAGAGCCTCCAATAACAATCAAAGGCCTAGAAAGTAGATAAAAAACCACTCAAACTTAGGCATACAATATTTTTGTAACTGCAATCACAGCTCCAAACTCTCCTGATTGTCAAATTCTACTGCTCTTGGGATGCTGTGCACCTTCAGCATCCACAGATCTCAAGAGGAACAGAAAGTGACCAGTACAACACAGGAGTGGATTCTAAGTATCAGCATGTCAGACAGCGGACTTCCTGGCAGCTTTTGGGTCACTAGTTTTAGGACAGTCTGGCTACATTAAGGGATCTGCATCTAGCATAAAAATTCTAAACCCAAGTCATATTGCTAGCAATTTTCATTAAGAGCTTGATAACATGGGTGACAAGATGGTTTGAGAGGAATGACAACAGCTAATCTAAAAAGTACTGACTGATCTAAAAAGCACGAAGATGTTTGTTCATAAGTGGCACTGTAATGTGCACAAACACTAGAACTAAGAAACACACTAGGAAACAATCTTTTCAGAAAGATTAGATTTTCTTCATATATGATTTGGTACACAGCAGAAATAAGCTGAGTATCTGACAGCACTTCTCCCTGCATTGAATTTTTACTAAAAAAACCCCCAACCAAACCAAACCCCAAAAAACAAGGACCAAAGAGACGAACAAAAATTTAAACTGCCTATAAATATTTGGTCCTGTTCTTAAATACGTTCATAGCTATGTAAGAAAGGCAGCATTAGTTTACAATATGGGCTGTACATTCCACAGGAACACATTTTTATTATAACTTCCACAAAATACAATAAATTATTGTCCTACAGTGAGTGAAAACTCAGTTTTTCAGTTTGTAGGTCAAACTGAAATTCCTTAAAATGCTAAATGCTGACTGAAGAGAAAGCTGGCTTATTAATCTGTTCATTCATCCACACTAAATTGAAATACTGGGTCAATAGCTTTCTGGGCTTTTTCTCCTAAACAATTTCTCTTCAAATACCGTCTTTCCTATGACTGCATTTATCTGTTCAAGGTGTTAAGCTGAAACATTTTACAGCATGCTCAATGCATAACACTAAATTTAATCACCCATAAAATTTGGGGAGATGTATATCAAGATCCAAGCTTCATAACCAGGCCATTTCTCTGCCACAAATAAAAAAACCTCAGTTCTAATCCCCTGACATGGCAAGATGAGAATTTCAGGCTGTATTTTACCTCTATCAAAATCCTTAGGGAAAATCTATTTGGTGCATAATTTAGATACTTTATTCTGCTGATTCTCTCCCCTCAACATAATGATTATGACTATCCATATATAACCACTTTGTTTCACAGTTACAAACCTTGTGCTCCTTTCACTTATCATCTTAGAATTTATTTAAATATTTCAATAAACAAAATAACTGCTACTTCCCAATAATGAAACATAATGAAGAGAACACTCTACTCAAGAAAGCCAATTCCAACAGCTATACTTTGAAAAGATTTGGTTCTGCTTTGAAAGTTTACATATTTGTAACCAGAAAGAAGTTTTTCCCCCAATGAAGTAATTGTACTGTACTACTGCCAAAATACTGTACACATTTTTAAGAGCTGTGTTTATTACTGTCTGTAGTTTAAATTAAGTCAAAAAACAACAGTGAGAATCATAGAATCACAGAATGGTTTGGA